GCGAACAATAGCGCAATGTTGCCGCCCGCCGGGACGGCTCTCCCGGCCACACCGTGGCGGCCGAAGGCGAGGAAACCGGGTGGCGCTTTTTTATAGTCACAAATATAAAATCGAGGTTTTCCCCCCTTTCGCTAGCCCCCGCCCCAACGCCGATAGAAAGCAGATAAATTTATGAAGGGCGAGCTAAGAGAATAATTACAGGGTAAAGGCCGTTAAATTTTATTTCCAGTCCCAAAGGCAAAACCTGCCATTTTATTGCAAACATCTGGAAGGACGGAGAGGTGGGCACGCTGTTGGTTTAAAATAAAAACAAAAGATTTTATTTCGCGAAAACAAAAAAACATCATTAAAGACCCTTTTGCCCCCACTGACTTTTATTTTTGAAAAGTGTGAGGGGGTAGTTGAATAGTCAACGATATGACGGTCTCAAAGCTCCAGGGGACCCAAACAAACAGCGGCATATCAAGGCTACAGGACTGGGCCCACGCTGCCTCCCAGAAACTGGCAATTGGGCAAGCGTTTCCAGAAGTGGACTCCCTCCTCACCCCCCATTTGAGGGATGCAAGCCAGTTATGCTTCTCCATTTGGTGCTCTTTTGTTGCTTTTGGGGCGCCAATTTGGGAAAAGAAGGAAAAAAGGGGAATGTTGGCCTCACATTCCTGGAAGATTGAATCACAACAATAATAAAACCTAACGTCTGTCCAGTTCTGGACAGATTATCTCGCCTGCTTTACTTTATTCTTAAGTATTTAGGACTCCTGCAGCCTACAACAGGGCACTAAGCCTTTTAACTTGCCCAAGGTGGGGCAGTTCGGTCTTAGTGGGGCCAGGTCACCTCCCCTTGGAGTTTCTGGTGTTTCCCTATACCCTATCCCAAAACCAAACTCTTTATAGGAGCTGACTAACACATCTTTCTCCAGTGGAGCAGCTGGTGGGTTTGAACTTCCAACCTTTTGGTTAGTAACTGAGCATTTAACCACTGCACCACCAAGGCTCCATCCATACCTCATTGTCTCCTCATAATGTTTTATAGCTGTCTACACAGTGAGAATTCATTGTAACTTCCACCCCCACAGGGTGTCCTGCCCACGTGTTTGGGGGAAGTCTCACATGCTCTAATCGCTAACTACTGTATTTTAAACTTTGTCCTCAACTGCCTACTCAAAACTCCAAAATCAAAGCCGGCTTTTATTTTTATTGTTATTTCAGAAAGAAAGGTGGTAGGTGGTATTTGGGGTAGGGGAACGGGGTTGGGAAGGACAGATATGTATAGGATGTAGGGCTCCATTTCTAGAAATGGGTGTTTATGTTTATGGTTCTTAACTTGTAATGCTGCAGGGTTCTGTTGTTCCTTTTGAGAAATGAAAATATCTGGACAAAGTCAGTTTCAGGTGAGCAGTCACTATGCTGTCAAGTCCAGGGCAGGTGTCTTCTTGCCCTATGTGTTCCAGCAGGTGATCAGGAAGCAGTGAAGCTTCCCTGACCCCCTATAATTTCCCAAGTACCTCAACAACCTTCTCTTGATATTTTGGGCCCTGCAAGGTATAGGGTGGGGCATCTAGCCTGGTCTTTTTCTATCAGCTTCAGGCCTGAAATAGACCTGGAATAGATTGCCAGTCTGTAAGATCCAACCAAGGCACAAGGTTGGAGCTTCTGGCTGGGAAACTTGGGGAGTGCCTCAGGAATTAGCCTTATACATCGGGAACCCCATTCTTACTCCTGAAGGTTAAAGGAGAAAGAAATTGGGGGGGGGGATAAGAGGAGACTTTGAAAGTTCTTTGATGTCATCAGTGAAATGAAAAAGAATACTACAATCCCAGCTTCTTAAATTTAATCCTCCTAAACCCTCCCTTCCCTTCCCAACCACATACAATCACACACCTAAGTTAAGTTTAATACAGTAAACCATCCCGGTAATCTTTCTCCAGACTCCCTTCCCATCAGCACAAAGTTACATACTAAGGAATGCATTCCCTGGGAAAAAGTTTAATTGGTAGATATAGAGTCACAAAAGGAAAAATTTCCTGCTTCTCATCTTTACCTAGAGTTGCTGTTGTTCTTGTGTTACCTAAAGAACCCTAATTTCGTGATTTATAAACCAGCCCACCTGTTCATTTGAGTCTAATTGGTTTTAGTGACTTAACCTGCAATTCCAGAATATGTATGGATATGAGATGAGGGTGGTGGAACCTATGGGCAAACTGAAGGAAGGATGTAGGAACTCAAAGAACGCTCACCCGGAGGTATGCATTTGGGTGGGGTGTAGATGCCTGTCCATGAAGGAATTGCTCACACCTCTGTGTGTGTTTGTCCTACTGGTGTGCATGGACACCTGCTTCATGCAGCCCTTTGGGCCTGCATTTAGCTGTGTGGGTAACCAAAAAGTCCTCTTTCTGAGTAACTCTCTTGGCCCCAGGGAGAGTGTGTGGCCTATAATAGTGTGACCACTTCACAAACCAAAACAGGCCTCTGGGAGATTTCAAAGACGAGGTTTCCAGAGGGAGATACAGGCAGTGGGGCGGAGGAAAGAGCCAGGGAAGGCTAGAGGATGGCCTGTAAACGACCCCGCGGTACCTGGTCGTAGACAGCGGTGAAGGAGAAGGCCAGGCGACGGAGGAGTAGGGAATGAGGTCTGAGAGGCCGGGGAAGGGGCCGCGCTCCCTGCCTGCCCTATCTCCAACTCTTGCTGAAAGCCCGGTAGCAGTGAATACTCAGTCACTTTCGGCAAGGATCCTGCAGGCAATGCCGACTGGTGACTGAGGTGGGAAACACTGCGCCTCGTCGGCCTCTTTACTCCGGCTCCCGAAGTTCCCGGAGCAGCGCGACTGGAGGCGCGGAGGGGGCTCAGTGTCCAGTTCAGCTCCCCAGAATTCTTGGGCCTGCTCCCCAGGGACCCTCTAGCCAAAGATGCAGGCTCCGGAAAGGCTCAAGAGGCCTAGCTCTGGCTGAATTACACTCACCCTGTCGCTAGATTCCTCTCCTCTGGACTGAGGTCCCATTTGAGGGCCCCTCTAACGGCCTTTTTGCTCTCCTCTCTCGAGCTAAGAGGCTCCAGGCACATTTACGACCCTTTTGCCTCCGGCACCATTCCTCTGGCCTCTTGTCGGTCAGGCGGGGACCTCGGCGTTTCAGAGACCCGAGGCGCCCAACCATTTTCGCCTAGAGGTGAGAGGACGGTCAGTCGCTCTGTCTCGGTAGTCTCTGACTTGTCAGTAGGCATCCTTTGCCCCTTGAGGGTTCACAACCTACTCAAAGTCTAATTGTCCGCGCGATTTGTCTGCTCAGCTGCTCGATCCCTCGCTCCTTTCCCCAGGTCCAGTTCCTTCTCTTCTTCGAAGGAGGATAGAAACGTCTAGACCAGGGCATCGAAACGGGAAGATCAGGCTGTGGCCAGGTCGTAATCCGCGAAATAGGAGACATTTTCCCAACTCGGAAAAACTAACCTTTTGATGGGTCTGAGCGTGCTCGATTCAAGGTTGCGCACAGGGTCTCCAGCCACCAACAACAGAACCTGAGGAGAGGAAGTGGGAAATAAGAATGTTCGGGAGTGTTGGGTGTTAAATGCCTTAGAAACCCCTGATAAATGCACTGTCCCGTAAGATTTTTTTAAAGGGAGAGTGTCAGCGGGGCGGGCAGAGCCAAGGACTCTGGAGGTAAGCGGGTTGGAAGGGACAAAAAAAAAAAAAAAAAAAGCGCATCTTCTGCGCAGTAAAGGCTGCCCAAGCAGCGCCCCTCCGCAACAGGCGCCGGGAGCATGCTAACCGCGTCCCACAGCAGCGAGTCCGCGCCGCAGGGAAGGCGAGTACTTTCTAGGTGAGGGTCCATCAAGGACCGGCCTGCAGAGCGAGCGCTTAGGTGGGCGCCACCACGGCCAACCTCTTGTTCCGAAGGCGCCAGCGCCTCCTCCTCCATCAGGTAGACCTGTAGGGAGGAAGCGATCTTTGGATTTTCAATTGCAAGACCCTGGATAGTGACGGAGCATTTCTGTGTTGTTTCGTTTCGTTTTGCCTTAACCAAAGTTGCTTAGAAAACGCTCAACAGAAACGAGGGAACCTGCGCAGGGGAAATCCGCGCGAAACCAGCGGATCAAAAAGCATCTAGGGGTAGGCATGATAATCAGAGTAGCTTTCTGACTCTTTGGGACAAGTTGACATTGTCAGATCCCAAACATTACAGCCCTGCCTAAAAATGTCTGGACTTGTAGTGTCTGTGAGATCCAGCAGATTTGGGAGGAAAAAGTACGGATTTGGGATTTGCTGGAGTTTGTAACAGTGCATATCGGACGTCGGCTTTCAGTCGCGCGCGACCCCCGCCCCCCCATTGAGTTGTCCATCCGGGACTGGGAAGCCAGGGGTTAAGGTCCGCGGAGTTTAGCCGGGACTCCGGGCGCTGAGCTTTGGCCGGAGCCTCAGTCTCTCCCCTCCTCTCATTGGCCCGCGCTCTCAAGGTTTCTCCTATTCCCTCCTCGCCATTGGTCGGGGGCTGGCTTTTTTTCCCCCTCGGTCTTTCTTTTCCTCCCCCCTCCCTCTTCCTTGCCCCTCGGACAAGAGCGCACCGCCTGCCCCCAGCTCCTCGTGAAGGGAGGAACTCAGGGGGAAAAAAAAAAAAAGTTTCCCAGAAGTTTGGATCAGAGGAAGGACGGGAAGAGCGAGAGAGGAAGAGGGAGAGGGAGGAGAGAAAAGAGAGGGAGGAGAGAGAATAAAAAAAAGATGAAGTCCAGTCGGCGCAGCCTGTGAGCGCCTGCCCGGGTGGGTGGGAAGCAGGACTCAGGCGCTCATGCAGCGAGCGGGCGGCGCTCCCGGCGCTCGTTCCTAGAGGCTGGGGCAGCTGGGGGCGTCTGTCCGAGCTTTTGCCGGAAGGTGGGGGAGGGCGCAGAGGACCTGCGGAGCCGCCGCGCCGCCGCCTTTCCCGGGCCCAGCCCGGCAGGCGCTCGGAGCGTGAGGGCGCGGGGCTGCTAAGGAGTAGAGGAGCAAGCGGGGACCAGGGTGCGGGCGGCTAAGATGAGTGAAAGGAGAAGATCTGCAGTCGCCCTGAGCTCGCGAGCACATGCCTTCTCCGTTGAAGCCTTGATCGGCTCAAATAAAAAGCGGAAGCTGCGAGACTGGGAGGATAAGGGGCTGGACCTGTCCATGGAGGCGCTGAGCCCCGCAGGCCCACTCGGAGACACCGAGGACTCGGCCGCGCACTGCCTGGAGCCCCACCCGGGTGAGTGCATCGGGCTAGACCTCCGGAGGCGGGCGGAGTGGGGACGCCGGGCGGCCAGCCGGCGGATGGAATGGTGAGGAGGGAGGCCTGGACTGCTGAAGCTCTGCATCGCTCCAACGCGGGTTCTCTTTTCTTCTTGTAAATGCCTTCAACTCTGCCTAAATTCGCTGGAATCAATTTAGGGAACTGGTCTGAGCCTTGCATTTTGGTCGGTTAGGTCAAGCAAGGAGGCCTGTGTTAGTGCCTGCAGCTGAAGTGTAGGCCCCTGGAGGTTAGGAGAGGCATGGGTCGAAGGCGGTGGCTGGGAGCGGAGGGGAGCCTAAACTGCTTCCTAGAGCCCCAGCCTGACTGGCGGGGTTTTTGCCCCCTCCAGCCCTATTTCGGGAAATGCCCACGAAGTCCCATTTAGCCTCTAGATTGGGCCCTTGCTTGCCCTTCCTCCACCAACTTTTCTGGGACTCAGGTTGTGTTAACCCTCTTCCCGGAGACCTGGAGCATATTCTGCTGAGGTTTGTGGAAAGAAGAACGAATGTTAGACCCATACTCTGTCCCCTGAGTCATTCTTAAGGACCCACATTTCTCTGTGTTTTTGGGGAGTCGGACATGCCATTAATTTGTATCTTGGATCGCTGCGCATCCTGTGCAGATTATGTGCATACACACAAAAAAACACAGGGCAGATGTCGATGTCTGTATTTTAATAGAATCTTGAGCGGGGGCAACTTAATGTTTCATATTAAGTGCCAAGATTTCAACTGTGCAAAACAGCCCGGGGGAACAGCTGTTGTCCGAAGAATCTTGTGCGCGCGCACACAACGCTCGCAGCTTTCTTTGGCGGCTTCAGAAATTTTCCAGCCTGGGCTTCTAAAACTACACTAGAGGTGCTCCTGACCACCAGCCAGGACTGGGGAGTAGACTACGATCTCCGCGCGGGCAAGCCCAGGGAGGGGTGGCGGTCCGTATAGCAGTGGGGCGGCCACAGGCCTGAGAGCTTGGGGACAGAGCTCAGGATCCAGGCCGGAAAGCGGGCCGACCCGAGGAGAGACAGCTGTCGCTTATATTTTCTCTTTACTCAGTGACAGTTCAATTTCCATGCTCTGGAGGCTAATAATAACGCGATTAGCGGGTGACCTGCAGAGACAGAGTTTTATGAATTCTCCGTGTCCTTGTGGCCCGTTACGGTATTTGAGTTTAGTGTTTGGGAATTATTTTTATTAGTCGATGAAAAGAAAATTAAAAGATTTATTTCATCCGCTCGAGTCTTTCCCTGTATTTGGATGTGGGTGCTAGTTCACGCGAACCCCTGCGTGGGCAACCCAAAAAGGAACGCGTGGTGAATGTTTCCCTTCTCTGGCCAGACCCCATTTCCTCACCGCATTTATCTGTTCTCAGAATCTTGCCTCCACACATTCAGTGGACGTTCTAATAAGCCTTAAGACAAATCGCTATTTGGGAGGGTCTTTTATTTTCTCGACTGAGAGATGGTAGAAATTATTTAGTTGCACGTGGCAGAGGCTGTGTCCGCAGTAACTGTTCTCTTGGGAGGCCCCAGGTCGCTCAGAGCCCTTCTAGGGTCGCCTGTTCAAAAGAACCAATATGCAGGGTCAGAATCAGGGATTCAGCTAGCAGCTTTCTCTGCACTGTTCTTGGGGTACAGGGCAAGGAGAGACAAGTCCAGGGATGAGAACTCGGATTCTACTTTCCAGAATCCTCTTCATTTGGTCCTGCCGGTGGTAGAGGGAGTGGAGGACCTGACATAGAAGAACTTGACATCACAAAGAGTTTTGTTCCCACTGCCTTTATCACTAAATAAATACACAAATAATGATAATTACGGGGAAAAAAAAAGCAAAGGGAAAGATGGGCGTTTAGATTTGAGAGAAAACGAAATATGTTTGTGGGGGCAAGAGCCTGAGAGAAGGAAGGAGCCTAAAGCCGAGAGCAGTCGCTGGCCTTCTGGAGAGCCAGGCTATCGCCAGGCCTGGCTGTGCCCTGGGGCCCAAGCGGATCCTCTAGCTGGAGCCTCACAGTGACCAAGGCTTTCTTATGAGCCTGGGCTCAGATGGAGAAAAGTCTTTCAGAAGTAGGGTGCAGTGGCGTGTAGACTCGGCTGTCTCCCGAGTGGAGGAGGTTGAGTAGTGCCATCCCTCCCCGACAGTGCTTTGCACCGGGATCTGATGGTAGAGAGCGCAAGGCGCGACCAGGGTTCGTGCCTTTAGGCCTTTCTTCCTTTTCTCCTCTAATAGGACATCTTAACAAACACAAAGCCACCTTTAAAGATGTGTATGTGGTGGGGAGGAGAGTAAGGGATGTGGTCCAGGAGATCTCATTGTGCCCAGGGCAGCGTCTTAACCCCACTGGGCCTTGAGATTTTGTTTAAAAGGCTTCTTTCGGTTAGGGCCACAAGGGAACTGAGACGGCCGAGTGCCTCCCCCGCCCTAGGCCGGTAACCAGACCGGAACTGAAAAAACAAAACAAAAACAAACCACCAAGGGGCTAGGGAGGGACTAAGCACAAACACGCACACCATCACTTCTCTCTGACTAGCACCCTCATTTTCAGCCCGCGCTGACCGAGCCACAAACTCCAGAGATCCTCGGACAACCCAGTGGTCAGATTTCACTAATCTTTCGGTTTTATTCAAAGACGCGGCCTCTTGTTTTTTTCACAGGCCGTTTTTCTTTCCTCTCCTGGACTGGGCTGGCTTTAGTAGGCGCCCCAGCGCCCGCAGCCTGGGGCGCCAACCTGCAACAGCGGGGGAGTAGCCTGGCCCGCGCACTGTAGGCATTACACGTCAGAGGGCACAGTATGTATTTCGAAATTTTCCACCGAGTCTAGTGGCCTTGAAAAACCCCGAGGCCCGCCAGGTTTTGGAGAGGGGCCTGTGTGACGCCCGCACTATCACACCCACGCCTACACTCGCCGTTTTACGGAGAAACTGCCAGGATTCTGTAATCTCGGGCTGGAGGGTCTCAAGACCTATCTCCGAGGAGCCTGGATCTCGGGCCTGCTAGCCCCTGCCTCCCTCCAAGCAGCAATAGGAGGAAACTTTCGACCTGAACCGCCCGAGACAGCTGCTGCGGCCTTAGAAGTATATTTCAGGCACGCGGGGGGCGCCATCTGCGCTTGGACCCCAGCCCCAGCTCTAACTGGTTTCCCTAGCTCTGGTTTGGACCTTTCCGGCCCAAATCCCCAGTCCAGCGCCGGCCGAGGCCTTGTCTCCCGCGGCGCGAAATAATGCAAACCTTCTGTGGAAGGATTACCTCCTTCAGAGCTTGCGGCTCTGAGTCCTGAAGCCGAGGCGCCCAAAAGGGCTGGGGAGGTGGTGGCGCGCTCGGGTGGGTACATTCAGCCAAGAACAGGCAGGCAGATCGACACTCCGCGCACACGTGCACACGCGTCTGGCGCTCGCACCCTCATGTACACCCACTCGCGCAACTCCCGAGTGAAATTAGGCAAGAAAAGCCGCCACAGAAAGCTTCGTTACTCCAGGTCACTTTCTTCTTTCTTTCTTCGAGTTATCGAGATCAACTTGTTACTGGAATTGATCCGCTAGTTTATGGCTCGTTTGCTCAGAGTAAAACACCGAGATTTTAATTCTGACAGCACCCCTCCACTCACCCTCAACCCTCAGTAGGGAAACACGGGGTAAAAGAGAGGAAGTGACTCTTAACAATATTTAAGTAACTGAAAAAAGTGATGATCTTGAGGGCAATGGGGGAGAATCTGCTTGTGCGGGGCAGGCACCAGCCAGGGCTCAAACGGTATTGCCAGGGTGTGCGGCGCGCAGGACTGAGGCACTCAAGGGTCTGCCCAGGGTAGGGTCCCAGGTGAAGAAACCCCGTCCTAGCGTAGCACCGGTCGATGCGTGCATCCCTGCACCAGTGTGGGCCTCGAACCGAGTTAGGGCCTGTTGGACGTGCTCAGGCCGTGCACAAGACTCTGGCCAGCCAGGTCAAAATGGTCTTCTGCCGCAGTGGCTCCTTGGTAAGTGACCTTGTGTGAAGGGGGAAAGGCGGAGGAGGGAAGGCGAGGTCTGGTGGTCTGATTTTGTCATCGGTCGGTGTGGAGGGTTGTTTTCTCAGGGATCAATGCCAAACGTCTCCCCCCCCCCCCCCCCGCTATGGTAGAAGTGCAAGGAAATCAGACGCCCTCTGGGTGCACGGGGCTGGGAGAGCGCACTACAGGGAAGGGTTTTGGAGACATTCTGTGTTAAACTCCGGCCCTAGCGCAATGGCACAATAGAAGTCAGTAGGAAGAAGAAGGGATTAGAATCCTCTCCATCCCAGAGAAATGATAACAAACTTCTGGAGGGCAGTGTGAGCTTGGGCGGTGGCGAAGGCGGGGCCCGAGAGGGACCCTTGATGCTCAGGGTTTGCATCTCCAAAGGCCCTTTCCCCAGTGCTTCAAAACCCGGTGTGATGCACGTGAAACGCTGCGACTTATGCGACTAACGCGAGAGCGAACTGTCTGGGAATGGTCTCTCCTTTCGCTAGGGCAGAGCAGTCTCTCACCGGCCTCTGCCATACACCTCTGACCTCAGGAGAACCTCTGGAGGCACGCAGGCACAACGTGCGGCGAAGGAAGAGCTGCGTTGCCTGGGACAGAGCCGTGCGCAGAGCTGGGGCGCAACGATTCTGAATTAAGATCATCCGTGCCCTCCCAAGGCTATTAAACACTATTTTTGGGCTCAGAGACAGCCACTTTGGGTTTTCTGATTTTATAGGTAGTATTCCGAGAAAGAAAATTTCATGGGGCAACCTTCAAACAGGGATGAAGGAGGTATTAAATTCCCTTGGATTTTAACTCCACTTTTAGTGGAGTTCGGCTTGCATACACAGAAACACTCCGCTGCCGTTTTCCTGATACACCCGTCTCTATACCAAATGCTTCAAATGGTTTATAAACATCTTTTAATTATTACAGAAAATTAGCTTAAATTCTCTTTAATTTATACAGATGGCATTAGATCAAACGAAGAATGGAATGAAATGGCTAAC